TTTGGTCCTGTCATAGCGGCTCCTTCCACTGTCACATCCCTCGTCTGCACAGCGGCTGCAGCTGGGAAGGAGGGGACTGTCCTGGTTTGCAGATCCACTGAAGTTAACAGTGGCCAGTGGCTGAATTTGAATCCTGCTCCCGCGCCCCTTGCAAATACACCATCGCGCCTATCTCAGCCTTATCACAACAGGCTGCCCAGCCACGGACTACCTGTTTGAAGCCTGCCTCCCTCCCCACAAGGGGAATAGAAAGCCAAGGCACCCAGCTGACGATCAGCAGAGACCTGCATTCATTTATGCCTTTGTTCATTGGTTCCCTCACCAAGAATTTTCCTACCTCCTGTACGCCCAGCGGGGTTCTTTCAGGGGAGCGGTAAACACACAAGAAAAGCATCCCAGTGGCAGGTGTTAGGCCTTGTTGACTGAGACAGGCAGCCTCTCGTTAGAAGGCACATCTCAGCTGTGATCTGAGTGACCTCAAGGATAAGCCCTGGACACCGTGTGGCTGGGAGGTGATGGCTAATGGCGAGAGCTACACATGAGACCGATCAGGCAGTCAAGTGCGCGTGGGGCATGAAAAGGGAATTAGGGAGGCAACCACATGGCCAGGACAGGTCTCTACAGGGTGGTGATTGTAGGAGGCCACGCCTCCTGTGGCAAATAGATTGGCAGCTCCGTGGATGCATGGAGGCCTTCGGAAGCTGAAGCAGTGGTTGACCTTCATGTTGGACAGAGGGACTGGTGGGGAGTGGACATACTGGGGCCACATTTCAGAGGGACAGCCAACAGGGCTGACCCCTGGACTGGACTGGGGGAGTGGTGACAAAGGGAGGGAGTGGAGGGGACCCTGCTGGGTTTTTGGCTTGAGCAACTTGATGCAGTGCTGTTTGTTCTGGCGGAGGGCCCTGGGGGGAGGGGTTGGGATGGAGTTTTGGAGGTCATGCCAGAGCTAGGGGCTGGCAGCTGCTGGAGGAGGCAGCCCCAAGACAGTTCCCCTTTCTCTTGATTTCTTAATCCCCAACCTGTGCGGAGACATCAGAGCTTGCCAGAGACTGACCAGCTCACCAGGAGCTTGGTCCACCTGTCACTGCCTGCTGGGTTTAGTAGTACCCCCCCGGGGGCGTGGCCAACCCCAGTGGCCGGCAGCCTGCGATCCTGCAGTCACCAACCGGGGGCTCCAGGAAATGCTTTGCTGCCACCTTGTGGACAAGAAGCGCCTGACCCATCTGGCTCCTTCAGGGTGGCTCCCGGACCACACTGGGCTGCTGGAAGAGACCAGAGCCTTGCAGAACTTGCACAAGCTAGGGCTTTCAGGAGGAAAGGGAGAGGGACCTGCACCAGTTCCCTATCGGCACGGGCTGTGGCTGGGCACAGCCCAGCGCTTATCAGTGGGTCAGCTAACACACATTTGGGTGGAGACCAGGTGCCCGTCTGTGGGCTTCCTGGGGCACAGCTTGGGGCCACTTCCTCTTTGTGGGTCATTGTGGACATCCCACTCCTGTCCAGTGGTCTTTCTCCTGTAAGGACCCTTCCGGGCCCCAGACACTCAAATGCGTGTGTGGGCAGCTGTGGGGCATATCTGGAGTCCGCTCTTTCTCTGACTTCCAGGCACTCGTGGCGGGGAGGGGCTGCCTTGTGCATTCTTTGCCCCCACCCCGGGGGAGGAAGATTGCATTCACCCTGACCCAGAATCTGTGCTGCAGGCATCCGTGGGAGAGTTCATCTTAATCTCTCTTCCCGGCCCTATGAGGAAGCCCAGCAGAGAGCCTGCACCAGGGGCACTTTTATGGCGTTTTTGTACTGTTCCTGGTTTTGTACTGTTCCAGCCTGGAGCTGGTCAGCGCTGCCCTGTCCCCCCTGGGCCCAGCAGCTCATGGTGCGGGGAGTCAGTCTGCATTTCCCGCTTGTCTTGGGAGAATTTTGTCAGTTGGAACAGGGAGACCTTGTCCCTGACCTGGGGCGGACCCAAAGGAGGAAGAGGTTTTGTGGTGTAGATGGGGTGGGGTGGGGTCTTTCACTGGCTCGATGTTGGGAGGGAGCAGGTGCCTTTACCTGCCTAACTTCTGTGGGTCAGGAAAAGCTCCGGGGGGGTGGGGGTGGGGTGGGGGGTGGGTGGAGGGGAGAATGGGAAAGAGGAAGCCACCAGGTGAGGAAGAGGAGGCTTCTCCCGCTTCACAGGCTGACCCACAATGAGCTTTTCTGCAGGTGCCCTGGAACTGGGAGCAGGTGTGACCTCAGGTGTTCTCTGGGCACTTTGTGCGCTCTCCCCACTCTGTCTCCACAGACCACCTCCCGTCCACACTGTCCTGTGCCTGCATTTGCGTTGGCTTGCTAGGAAGGCTTATTTTGAGGAAGGGTAATTTTCAGTGAGAGAGAGAGAGAGGGAATAAGGACAGCTTTGCAGACAGGGAAGGAAGGCAGAAAGCATTTTCTTTTGGTCTGTGGCTCTGAGGGTACGGACTTCAACTTGGAAACGGGGGTCACAATACCGGCTGCAGTGAGGGTCCAGGGACAGGCTGTCCTGGAGAACCGTCCATTAGGGGGGAACAAGCCTCCCGGAGAGGAGGAAGCTGCCCTCTGCACAGCTAATAACTGGTCCCACGGACACAGGGAATCACCCCCACCCCCAGGCCCGGGAGATCCAGCCCAGGACTTGGGAGTTTCCGGCCCTCCAGTCTGTGGGGCGCACCTGGGATGGAGAGGCCCTGCCTGCCTTAGGCATTCCCCCAGCCCCAGCCCCCTCAGGAATGCGCCACTGTTATCTCCTCCTCCTCTGAGACCCTGGTCGCTGAAAGGGATGGGGCAGGAGCTGGATTAGGCGGGCCGGGGAACACTCTCTGTAAAGGAGACACAAGCCCCTCACGCCTCGCTCCTCCCTGCAGATCTGCATGCTGTGGCCATTGATTTCTGCTTTACAGGCTGTGGTCAGTCACACTCCAGGGACCCCACGCCCCACTGCCCCAGTGCTGGGGTGAGGCCTGGCTTCACTGGGTGTCTGGCGCTCACTGAGGGTGTTTTCACGTAGACTGTGAGGTCCCAGCCGGCCCCAGCTCAGGCGGGAGGTGAGGCCCAGTGACTTCAGGGCCTAAGAAGTGAGTCACCGGGGAGCAGGGTCAAGGCCCAGAAATTACCCTTTGGCTTTTCCACTGCCGTAGGCAGGTCAACACCTAACATGCAGTCCAGACAGATACGAATCTTCTGGATTCTGTAATCTCCAGAGGAAAAGACAGCCACAGCCAACTGTAGCGCAGCCACTCCGGACCTCCAGATGTCTGAGCCAAAGACTCGGGGTTGCCGACAAGAGACTCGCCTCCTGGACTCCTCCCTTGGCCTTTTTTTTTTTCCCCAAGATTTATTTTTATTTATTTGAAAGAGCCAGAGAGAGGTAGAGACAGAGAGAGAGGTCTTCCATCCGCTGGTTCACTCCCGATGACCGAAAGGGCCCGAGCTGCTCTGATCCGAAGCCAGGAGCTTCTTCCAGGTGTCCCACGCTGGTGCAGGGGCCCAAGCCCTAGGGCCATCCTCCACTACTTCCCAGGCCACAGC